GATAAAAGATGTTAAAGCCACTTTCCTCCTGAGTAAAGACTCAGGGTGTTCAATATGTCATGTATAAACTTTGCTCCTCTGTCCTTTCAGCTGTAATCAAAGAAAATGGGCCTTGATGAAGTGAGATGACAAAGTAGCTCTTCACAGTTCTTCCCTTGAGCAATTCTCTTGAATGCAGCTACCTAACTATGAGATGGTTGTAATGAAGGTCTGCACATATCCATCTGACTAGCATTTGCCTTTCTGATGTCTTATCTGTCATGCGATTGTATTGAATGGGATGGAAACGAATATAAATTGAATGGAATAGAATAGTAATGGAATACCCCTATACTTCAGTATGGGTTCCAGGGAGAAGGGAACAACACAATGTGGTCAAGACTCAGACATCAGGCTATCCCTGAACCACCTCCCCTGAAGAGCTCTCCCATATTTTTGCACGCCCATTACAGAACCTATGCTTAGCCACATGTATTGCTCAAGTCCAGATTTACTCGTCATGTTTGATGTTGGACGTGACATGCGTTCATAAATGAAGAGATCACTAGTATTTAAAAAAATGAAGATTATAGATATTGTCTTCTCACCAGCAGGGGCTGTGCACAAGAAACAGCAAGTCTTGCAGAGGAAGTACTGTCAAGAGGGTCTGTTTCACTGTTCAGTGGAAATTCAGTGGATGTGGTAGGCAGTACTGATTTCCCATGGGCTTAAATGGATTTACAGTCTGTCCTGTTGTGTGCTACAAGGAGCCTATCCAAACCATCTGCAATAGGGTTTAAATTAATATCAATTTTCTAATAGAAATGTCACACTGATTTCTATCTGTTCTACTGATTTTATTTTTTGTTGTGTGTGTTCTCCCGTCCCTGTAAATGTCCTCACATGCATTTTGCCAGGACAGTCAAGAGCTTTTCCTTCAATAACTGTGTCTCCTGTGGTCCCTGTTTCCTTGACAGAGTTTTGTTAAATAGCATAAAAGTCCAGCTTCTACTTTTAATAGTTGCACTTCACTGTGCTCTTTTTTTCTCATGTTTTAAATAAATACCACCCCCTTCCCCAATGTTTTCAAACTATCCACACAGTTTAATCTCCTCGAAAGATGTAAGCACCTGAAATTCTTCAGTTTTTCTAGAGCCTTTGGATTTAATAGAAGACACTAGCATAAAACTTAATGGCATATGATATTTCAGAAGCCTGACTAGATGATCTAATGATTCCTTCTGTCTTTAAACACTGAAGCTCTTGCATCCCCAATTTGCTGATGACTACCTCATATAAAATAGAATTTAGAATAAAAATAACCTGACCATTCATCATTTGTTTTCTTAATGGGAAAAAATTATTTCATTGCAGCAAAATCACACAAGAAGAGGTTTTGCTGGTGCACCTTTGATTTGGTGGTGTTCCTTAACTCGAAGCCTCATCTTTTATGAAGGGACAGAGCCATTTTCCTATGCTAGATCATGACTTCAGGCCTGTATCACCACTGATATGTGTAATGTCCTTATAGATATAAAAGAGAACAGAGCTCGTTTCTACAAAAACAAAAACAAAACAAGGCATCAACTGCAATTTCCCTGCCAAAAAGAGTTCTAATATTGAGTGATGTGAAAGCTTCAGGGAGAATTGTGAGGATCAAATGAAACCTTCTAAATAACAACAACAATAAAAATGTTGTTTTAAAATTTATTAGAAAGGATGGCTGAACTAGGAGTCAGAAAATCTGGGCTTAGAATAGCGCATCAAGCAGGGGAGCCTGAAATGCGTTGACACTAGACTTTGGGTGTTCAGATCCAATTTTGTAAACAAGCTTGTCCAAAGCTGTCCCCAGCATATCAGCAGCTCTGAATCAGGTGTATTAGGATACTGGTGGCTTCTACCAAAACTTCTGTGTAAGCCTGGACCAGGGCACAGGGCACAGGTATCCCCTGGAGGTACATCTCATGGTGTGGCTGAAAACGTGTCCCTGCATGGGAACAGCTCCTGTGGGAAGCATAGCTGGTGGCTTGTTTCCATCCCTGTCATGTAGCTTAGGTAGCAATGGGAACATTTAGCCAGCAATGCCTCCTCCCTCTGAGACACCTCCTTTTCCAGCCAGTGATGAGGTGTCTTGTGGACTGCAGAGGATCTTTCTTAAACCCAGATTAGAGCCAAGACTGCAGAAAAAGTCATCTCCACCACAAAGCAACATGCTGTCTCTGCTGAGATACAGTGGGAAGCAGAGGCCCCTGTAGTGAGTGCCTGGCAGATGCCTGGGCATCTACCTGCAAGCCCATTTTGAGAGGGGTTTATAGAGAAAAAATGTTAGATATTGAGAAAAAAATGATTGTAGCCCAGTATATTTACTGTCATTTTTCTCTCACTGTTTAGGACACTGCCTGAAAGGTGCTTATGTTCCTCCCCACCAGAATGAAATCAGCAGGAATTAACAAGAAGTGTCCCTTCAGGTGCAAACCATAGTTTCTCCTTCCTGCTCCCTCTGCTTTGATAAACAGCTGGATGAAACATGGATGATGCAATCAATTCTGTGTCCTCTCAAGGTAGGTTCTCAGGTGAATTTTAGTCTGCAAATACATGACACAGTTACTTTTTTGAGAAGGACTTAGAATGGCTTCGGAAAAGACTCCAGTGTAGCTGTGACTAAGTTCATGAAACAAGATATTGAGCTTAGTGACCAATGGCATGAGGAACATCATACTGCAATGAACTTGCATGATTTTGTTTTGATTTGCTCACTCTTGGGTCACTCTTATAACCATGTTATAATATATATAACCACATTTAAAATTGGTTTTTGTTTATTTTTTTATTATTATTCTTTTTTTTAATCTTTTTTACATGCTTAGTTACTACGCATGAAGTTATTGGTTTTACTAAATGACTCAAGTAAGATTAAAATGTAGAACGATTTAATTTTTAGGATGATCGATACACATGCACACGCACCATTGCTGCCCTTGTTCTTCTGGCACATCTGTGGCCAATAGTAAATGTTAATAGCAATAGTAAATAATAGTCATAATAAGAAGAATAGTAATAAAACTCCCCTTTACGTGGAAGATGCTGAATAATGTCACCAGTCATATTATCCATGGTCTTTCTTGTCTATGAATTGACACAAATGACTTTATGAATGAATAAAATGAATAAAATTAAAGCAATGTGAAAAGTAAAGATATCCTCATTATTTTGTAATGGACACAACTTGACACATAACTCTTTGCTACTGCTTTTCAGCATCTGCTGCTGGCATTTGTATTTATTCATTCATTAGGACACTGAGTTAAATTGCTTGTTTAATTTGGTGGTGTTTATGCTGACTTTCTACAAAGTTTCTCTATCCTTTGAATGAACCTTCCTCTCCCCTCTTCCATTTGGGAAAGCGCAGAAAATTATCCTTCAATGAAAATAAAGAATTCTTATCCTTTTGTTTCCTTGTGTTGGGATTTGTATCTCACTTCTTGCAAGAGGTTATACAACGTATTCTGCCTGCCATCAACTTTATGATGATATGATGCTTGATGAAGAACATTTGTACTGTAGGTGTGCACATTACTTCATAGTTTAAATAGAATCCTGCTCATTTGCCTTTTGCACCATGACATTCAGAGGATGATATTTTACGATTCTGTTGTGCTTTCCTGCATTTTATCAGTTATGGTGATAAAAATATGTTTTTTTGAAAATAACATGAAATGCTCAGCTGATATCAGAAAAAAACTGGGGAGGAGTATGCAGCATTTGGATATTCTTGGCTCATAGCACTGATGCAGTTCAGCTTAAACACTGAGTTCATGCCAAAGTTATCTCCATGGACTTTTTTGTCTTGACACTTGAGTAGTGGAACCCAGACCTTCCATTTCTGAGCTTTACTCAATTAAAGCACACAGTATACACAGTTTAGTGGTTTAACTAAAAATGAAGTCTCTGTCATATCAGCTGGCATATCAGTTTGATAATCTGATAGAAAGCTGGGAATGGGTAGGACAGCCCCACCATGGGGGTATGTTGATGGTCCCTTTTCCCTGCAGCCCACTGCATGTACCAGGGACAAGCTGTTCAGCATCACAGGAGTACAAGCAATGCACATTTGGATAAGACCTCATCTTCCTTCTTAAAAACCTGGCACTCTGACAGGACAAAAATAGCATGATACTGGTATCACACTTGTACCCTGGTTTCAGAAAGTGACCTTAGGGTGGAATACTCAGTACTGCTGATGCAGAGGTTGTGCCACTGGGTCCCTTCCCAGTCACCTTTCCTTTGGGGTTGGCAAATCATTTGTGCCAACATTCAATGAACTAGCTACGGGACTGAACTGGCTGAAAAATAACCTGAGAAATTAATTGCTCTCAGCCACATTCTTTTTCTGATTCACAGTGTGAGTGCAAATTGCTGCAAGGAGTGGGTAGTCTGGGGATGAGAATGAGCTGCTGGGAGTGGGAGGTGAGCAGGATGCTGGGATGGGAGATGCCAGGATGTGCTTATTGAACAAGCTCCAAAAACCAAGGAAGCTGAAACAAGTTCATGTGATACGAGAAATTGGGGGTGGGGGTGTACATAGAAAAACAGCTACCCAAAAGAGGACCTATAAAGTTACAGGAAGGAATACTTGCTGTGGTGAGTGAAAGTCAAGGAGGGTGGTAGCCCTTGGGCTTTGCACACCTATGTGCTTAGCTTTCAGCCAGGTCATGAGGGTTGCATAGAGCACAGAAAGTTAAGAATCTGTATGAGAGTCTGTGTCAGAGAGATGAACAATTTTCTGAACTGTTTTTGCTTAACTACTTCAATTGTAGTTTACAGATAATTAAAACAATATAAAATAAAGACCACAACATAAAATATAGGGAAAAAAAACACAACCTAGAAAATAACAATTTTAATTTTCCGCATTTCCTCAGAAGAGATAAACAAAACCTTTAGCAGCAGTTGGTACAATTCTCTTTTTTCTTTTTTTCTTTTTTTCTTTTTTTCTTTTTTTCTTTTTTTTTTTTAAGCTCAAACTGGCAAAAAATCTTTCAGGATGTCTTCCTGATGATTAGTTGAACATCCTTCACAAAATATGCTTGCAATTATTTATGACTTCTAACCATGCAACAGCATGCTAAAAAGTATTTTCATCATTTATGCCTCTTAAGAGGCAGAAAGAGACCAGAGAACTACCTCTACAAGCAGGACCCAGAGTTTTCAACTCATTGCACAAACACGGGCTGCCTACAATGTATATTGCAGTGCAACAAAAGTAAACCCACTTTATACATTCCATCAAATATCTGCCCCTCAACTTTAATCCACTCAGATCGGGTTTTGTCATCTCTTTAAAAATTCTGTCCTTCACAATGTGTGATATGGATATTCTTTTTATAGAAAAAGTAATTATGGCAGTTTTCCAAACGATCACAATACCACTGTGCCCTCAATTCCCAAGGGCTCTCTCAAAGAATTTCTTTCAATTCAGAAAAAGATTACAAAGGTGGTATAATCTGTCTGACTGAAATTGAGTATTAAAATTTATCTGGGGAAACACAGTCCATCAGCAGTTCCCTCTGTAAGCCCCAGTGCCAAATGTTTCTAGCAAAATTATTCATTTTGGTAATTTTGGTCACACCAAGCAAAACTGGCCCAGCTATGCAGGTAGTGTAAAGTGACCGGGCAATTACAGGAGTGATGCTGATTTATGCTGGCTAAGAAGACTATTAATTATATTCATTTTGCTTATCTGTAAAACCCTTTTCTGAAATAATGTGTGCTGATTGTCTCTCCTCTGTAGAAACATGCCAGGAATTGTAAATTAGCCATGTGTAGTGCATTTGAGGTAACACAAGGGTTTATTTCCTCTTGGTAAGTTATTAAGCTTTTATTGAAGCATATTTTGTATGATCATCAATAATATCCACATGCTTTGTACCTAATGTGTTTCACTTCTTTAGCACATTTCAGTTAAGGGTTTTAAAATAGGCTACAAACACTAATGAATTGAGCTTTGCAGCGCTCCAGTGAGGAAGGTAAGCAGCATCACTGCAGGTCTGCAAATCAGCAAACCGAGGAATGGAGCAGCTTTCTGAAGACAGCACAATAAATTTCAGATGAAGGTTCTTGCCCTTCTGCTGGTACCTCAAGCCTTTTCCCCCTTTCCTTTCCAGCAGTGGTGCTAGAAAGGAAGGCAGCTTGCCCAAGGCTGCTGGCTGCATTGCCAGGAGAGTCAGGACCCTGGATGAACCCAGGACTGGACAACACCAACCCCATGTTTCAGGTACCCCTGAGCACAGATGGCTCCCGGCCTCATACCCCTGCTCTCTCACCTTTCCCTTTCATGCCATGACCGGCCACACCAAGCTCTGTGATCCCTCATCTGTGCTCTTGCCAAGGTCCTCAGCATGGTGCATCCTTCCAATTCTCTACTCTTGGCTTCAGCCCTCCTTGCCCCAACCCTTCTCTGCTCCCCCTAACTCCTGCACTTGGGGTCTTCTCACACCCTGGCATGCATCTTTGCACGCTAAATAACTGTAGCTGTAACCAGAATGGAAATCATCCCAAGTGGAAGATATTCAAGGCTCTTTTTCAAAACATATTACTTTAGAGGGCAGCTCATTTGAGACCTTCAAGCTGGCATACCATAAGCAAGAGGGTCCTGGTGCTGGTGGAAATCTCTGTCCTTTATCGCATTCTCTGCGTGTGAGAACCCATTAGGGGTAAAACAATGCAGGATACAATCGAGCAGAGCTCTGCCATCAAAAACCAGGACTGTGGGCCACAGACATGGCCCCCTGCCTGCCACATCTGTGCCGAGGTCCTGAGGCTGCTGCTGGTGCTGGTGCACCTTCCACTCAGCCAATGCTTTTGAAACGAAACTGTGAAACCATCTATCACCGTATGTATAGGTGGGGCTTAGAAGGCTGCAGTCACCTCCCTTCCTGGGCTGCTTGTTGCTGTGCATGGCATCCCAACGACACTAAACGGGCATGCTTGTCCATGCAGCTGTACAGTTCCCCTTCTCCCTCTTCCCCTCACCAGTCAGACCAGGGTAGTTATATCTCACCTCTTCCCACCCCTTCTAGATATCTGGCCAGACGGGTGCATCCCAGGTTCACTCACTCATCCCAAACTCACCCCAGAGTTCCATGCCAGAGTTTAGTGGCTCATTTAGGTATGTAATCTTCATGGATAAACTGTTTGTACAAGTCCACGTGGCGGAGAAGGGGGAGGCAGTGTTTAGATTCCCAAGGCCAAGTTTTGGTACTGTGGCATGGGATGTGCGTTGTCAGTGTCTTGCCTCACTAATTTTCCAGTGTAGCCTCGGCCAGGACTAGTTGTGCAGCTGCTTGCTCTGCTTAGAGACCCAAACCTGTGACGCTCATAGTGAATCTGTTCGACTTCTTGAATTTGCACGCCCAACAACATCTCTCTTATTTGCAGTTTCTTCTCTTGAAGGGACACCAATTGCATAATTTCAGCTTGCACTCCCTTATTTTAGATAAAAGGAAACAACAAACCAAGACACAACTGTGTCTTCTGTAAAATGCTGTCAACAGGACTGAAGAATTGTTGCACTAAAAGGAGCAGCACAGATCAGCTCTGGCTGTACACCCAATTTTTCAGCAGACTACATATTTTAATAACCTGCTACAATGAATGCTGCCAGGGAAGAAAGAGGATGAGTTAATCCAGTGGAGAAAGTTTTATGAGGAAAACTACCATGCAGGGGTTGTGAAATTAAAAGGGAGAGAATATGTTTGAAACAGTGTATCATAGTTGGAAATAAAGCCTACTACTGCTTGTGAGGGCGACAAGCATAGATATGCCACAAATTGCAGCTCCCAGTTCTGTACTTCCCAGTGGGCCTGTGAGCTAATCCATGGGAGTGCAACAGATCTCAATTCCAACCTTCATCAAAAAACATTGCAACAGCTTTTAGAGTTATGTATTGCGTTAGTTCTTTATTTCCTCTCTGGTGAGAGACCAGATTTAAAAAGTCTTTAAAAGTCAATAGTATGTTGATATATACAGCAGTGTTATATTTAGGAGCTTTGGAGAGAATGGTGAAAGCTCCATTCACAAACCAATGCATGATTCTCTCCTGCAGATTTCATACAGCAAGAATTATCCACTTCTGTCCATCACAACTACAAACAACCATGGACCAGGTAGCTGCTTGGTCCAGACAAGTCTACAGAGTATTAAGTCCATACCCATCTCAGAAACTGAGCCAGACAGTACTTTTTGCACTCCACTATAAACCTCAGTTCAGCCATAAGAAGCTTCTGTGTCACATAGGAAAAGAGCAGCATAGTCAAGGGTGTGTTGGCAATGTCCTGGGTCCCATCAATATCAAGGAAATGTTTTACATGGAAATGCTCAAAATTATTCTAAAAAATTGACATCAGCTCCCACTGCAGAAAAGGCTAATGCTTTCCTGCTGTTGTCACCAGTACTCACCAGTCTGAGATACAAATATTCCATCTGTCCACTGAAGATTTTAATCTATTTCTACCTTAAAAGAAGTTCATGAAGCAGCTCTTCACAAGTGATTTGCTTTGAATATGATTTCCCTGAATATTTTTTTCCTTCTGAGGAAATATTAACATCCATTCTCTTTGTAGTGATGTAAGTTGCAGCTTCAGGTTTGACAGATTAATAGATTTCCTTTCCCAACAGTCTTTTACTTGTTTGTAAACTGTGTTTTCTCTTTCATCTTTTCTTCAGATTGAATGTATTGAGGTCTCTGCAACTTCCCCATAAACATTCAGTGTCTGAAACTTTCATAATTTCTTTTGCCTGCCCTGATCTAATTTCACCTGGTTGCTGTTGTGTCGGTGTTTGGGATTTCCAACACTTGCCACATGATGAATACTTGCTTAATGGAAATTTTTGGTAAGAGAGTAAGGAGAAACAAATGAGGGAAAAAAAAAAAGATGAAATAATTTATTTTGCTTGTGTACGCATACATTTTGTTATAGGTTAACAGCTACATATACAAGAAACATAAGAACGCTTCTTGGAGAAGTTGACCAAGGTATTGCGAAATACTGGCACTATGAGGAAGCTAGTGCCAGAGCACTTTTGCTCAGCCAAAGCATCAATCAGCCTTGCCTACTCAGTCACTGCTCTTTGCTGACAGCTTCTTATAGCAAGGTGGGCTCCAGGGGAGTGTCGTGACAGAAAGGTTATTTCTACAACAAGTCACAAAGGTTTGCTCAGTGCCCTCTGTCTACCAGGGACCTTGAAAAGGAGGATGCAGGTATCACCTACGTCTTCATTCTCTTATCAAGTCATTTAAACTATTTCTTCAAATTTCTTAGATGAGGTTCCTTTCTTTTTGTATAATTTATGCAGCTTTTTCTGGTTTGGTTATACTTTGTGTCAATAGCTCATGTTTATTACAAACCAGGCACTAATAAACATATCCTATTGAGATTATCTGGCGCAACTCTTCAAACTTCAGACAAGTACATTATATTGCTCATTAGCAGATACAAAGTTTTAAGAATTTTTTTCAACCCTTTCAAACTATGAAAAAATTACAGCAATAGCTGGTTGGAGAGAACAGTTGAATTATCTGAAAGTGATTTGTTATCTGCTATTTCCCCCAACCAGCTGTGGTATTTAAAAGCCACCAGTCTCTTGCTAGGTTTCCCCTGCCTCTCCAGATCCTCTGCTCCATGTTCCCTGCCCAGCCATTCCACCTCTCTGGCTCCGTTGGTAAAGACTTTGCAGCAAATTTGTGTCTTGAAAGTCACAGCTGCAAACATCTGAACCTGACAGCTGAACAGTGCAGAATGAATCACACACCCTAGATGTCAACATTTTTTTGTGCTGTTTCTTTGAACTGCCTGAATGAGCATGGGAAGAGAGAGGTATTGCTAACTATAAAGGATTGAAGTGACTTCTGTCTTCAAAGCTTTGCCACTACCTGTCATTAGTTATGTTAATTCAAAGGGAGGAGAAAAGGAAACCTTTTGACTGATGAGAATACCTTGATAGACAGTCAAAACCTTTCCTGGAATATTAAAACTGGAATATATGAGATTCCTCTCCAAACAGCAAATCAAGCAAACAGATTCAGTCCCCCTGGAATAACCCAAGAGTTCCTCCAGCTCCTCCATCATAAAGATCCAAAAATCTTAATGAAAAGATGAACCTATATAAAATATGAACTACTCAATTAAAAAAAAAAAAAAGTGCTTCCTTCATAATAGATTTTATTTATAGCTGTTAAAATGAAAGTCCAAGAAAGTGCTGCAAATCCCATAGAAAGGCCCTTAGGGAGGGGATGACTTAAGGAAACAAAACTTACTGCCTTGGCATTCCTGGATGCTCTCTGCAGAATCAAATGCAGATTTCTGTTATGGCTATTACAGTCACTGTATTACTTCCCTAAGCACACTCAACCTAGAAAGAAGCACAGACTAATCTGGAAGGTCTTTATCCTGCAGACTGAGGGCTTGAGGGGAATGGAGTCCCAGCAAAGATCTCATGTAGGTTTGCCTGCAAGGAGAGATTTGCCTTCACTGGCAGACTTACTGTCTGATACTCCATGAAATTTCAGAGAACCTCATTGTTGTATGAGGTTTTCTGTATTATATATGTATTTCACATATGTATATCATATATATTAATACTTGTATATTTTTTATACATGTATATGTACGTCTATATTATATATGTATTATATATTTATATATAAAAACTATATATTAAATATTTTAGACATATATAATATATATTTGTATTATATAAATGAGGAATCTGTATTCACAATCATGACTTATATGAAAAAGAAAAATCCATTAACATATTTTAATAATGTGCCATCAACAATAATATTAAATCTCCCAAGGGAAAGCACACTGTATAACGCTTATTTTTCCTTGCACAAAAGGACTGAACAGAGATTAATGTACTGCTGATCAATAATTAGAATGATAAATGCCTGCGGAGTTGTTCTGTCACATTATAGTGACAAACATTGATTGAGAGGTGGACTTCCAATGACAGCTGTAATTTTTTAAACATAGGTAGTAGCAATGTGTATTGAGTACACAGGCTTACCAAGATACTTTTACTTTGAAATCACTTAAAATCAGAATAATGGGAAACTGAGCAGGTGTTTACTACAGAAAAGGCAGTCTCAATTATGTGAGAAAACTTATCTAAAGTGCAAGCTGTAAACTTTCTGCAAAATCTTTCTTTATGTCCACCCTTACTGAGTCAACACTGTCTTCTCCTTAGGAAGGAAGCACTTTACAGTCTGGG